AGCGGACCCCCCCCCGGCCCCCGGCGGGGTGCCTGCGGCTGCAGACCTGCTATCCTCCAGCCCCGAGAGCCAGCATGGCGGCACACAGCCTCCCGGGGGTGGACAGCCCCTGCTGCAGCCTACCAAGGTGGATGCAGCCGAGGGCCGCCGGCCCCAGGCCCTGCGACTGATCGAGCGGGACCCCTATGAGCATCCTGAGAGGCTGCGGCAGCTGCAGCAGGAGCTGGAGGCCTTTCGCGGCCAGCTGGGCGATGCAGGCGTGCTGGATGCTGTCTGGCGGGAGCTGCAGGAGGCGCAGGAGCACGATGCCCGAGGCCGCTCCATCGCCATCGCTCGCTGCTACTCGCTGAAGAACCGGCACCAGGACGTCATGCCCTATGACAGCAACCGCGTGGTACTGCGCTCAGGCAAAGATGACTACATTAACGCCAGCTGTGTGGAGGGGCTCTCACCGTACTGCCCGCCGTTGGTGGCCACCCAGGCCCCGCTGCCTGGCACTGCTGCAGATTTCTGGCTCATGGTGCACGAGCAGAAGGTGTCGGTCATCGTCATGCTGGTGTCCGAGGCGGAGATGGAGAAGGTGGAGTGGCTGCTGGGTGGGTGCCAGGAGGGCACTGGGGTGGTCGGCGGGGCTAACCGTCCCATCTTGTCTGCTCCTCAGCAAAAGGTGGCTCGCTACTTCCCCACCGAGAGGGGCCAGCCCATGGTGCACGGTGCCCTGAGCCTGACCCTGAGCAGCGTCCGCACCACTGAAACCCACGTGGAGCGGGTGCTGAGCCTACAGTTCCGCGACCAGAGCCTCAAGCGCTCCCTTGTGCACCTCCACTTCCCCACGTGGCCTGAGTTGTGCGTCCTGCCCTGGGACGTGGCTGGGGGCCGGATGCCGCCTACTACTCGGTCCTGGGAGGGCGAGGGCTCCGCTCAGGCCTGACTCATAGATACTGTCCTGCAGGGGCCTGCCCGATAGCCCTGGAAATCTGCTGCGCTTCATCCAGGAGGTCCACGCGCATTACCTGCACCAGCGGCCCCTGCACACACCCATTGTCGTGCACTGCAGGTAGGTGCGGCTGCCTGAGGGCCCCTCGGTGGGCCCTTGGCCTGGCCTCACTCCCCCTCTCGCTCCAGCTCCGGTGTGGGCCGCACGGGAGCCTTTGCGCTGCTCTATGCAGCCGTGCAGGAGGTGGAGGCTGGGAACGGGATCCCTGAGCTGCCCCGGCTGGTGCGGCACATGCGGCGGCAGAGGAAGCACATGCTGCAGGAGAAGGTGGGGCTGGCCTCCAGGGCAGAGCAGGGCTGGGCAGGGCCAGGCCGGGCTCTTGGGTGGAGGGGAGGGCCCCTGCCCCTCTGATGGGCCTGCCCCTCTGCAGCTGCACCTCAAGTTCTGCCACGAGGCAGTGGTGAGACACGTGGAGCAGGTCCTGCAGCGACACGGAGTGCTGCCCCCGTGCAAACCTTCGGCCAGCACCAGCTCCAGCCAGAAGGTAAGGCCGCTCCCCTGGGCTGTTGAGGCACCACAGCTGTCTCCCCCCTCACTTTCCGTATCCTCTCAGAATCACCTCCCTCAGGACTCCCAGGACCTGGTCCTCGGTGGGGATGTGCCCATCAGCTCCATCCAGGCCACCATTGCCAAGCTCAGCATCCGGCCCCCTGGGAGCCTGGAGTCCCCAGCTGTCATCATGCCAGGCCCTGCAGAGCCCGCAGGTCCGCCGCCACCCAACCTCCCAGAGTCTACCCCGATTCCACCCTCTTCCCCACCCCCCATCCCTTCACCCCTGCCGGAGGCCCCCCAGGCCGAAGAGCAGCAGCCAGTGCCTGAAGCCCCCAGCTTGGGGCCTCCTTCCTCCTCACTGGAGCTACTGGCCTCATTGACCCCAGAGGCCTTTTCCCTGGACAGCTCCTTGCGGGGGAAGCAGCGGATGAGCAAGCAGAACTTTCTGCAAGCCCACAACGGACAGGGGCTGCGGGCTGCCCGGCCCAGCGACGACCCCCTCAGCCTTCTAGATCCACTTTGGACACTCAACAAGACCTGAGTGGTCCACCTGCCCGGTCCTTACACTACATTGTCATCCAGGCCCGCCTGCCCAGACCCAGCAGGGCCTATTTGGGTGGCCACGACCTCTTCCTCCCATTCCTG